AGTTCCTTGACACGTCGCTGGGCATCAACGAGGTTTTTCTCCGCGCTTTGTACCTCGAGGCCAATTTTCTGCATCTTGGTGTCCAGCTGAGGAATTTGGTCCTTCAGATACCTAAGACGAGATTCCAGTTCTCGCTGGTGGTCTTGGAATTCTTGGAAGTTTTGCTCAATAGAGTCACGGTCGCTTTCAAGCTTGGCGACTTGCTCCTGGCTCGTATCGGACACGAGCTTGCTTGACATCAAGCCCCGCTTGACAGTCTTTCCACCACCCGACATGGTACCGCTCTTGTCAATGAGCTCTCCGTCAAGGGTTACCACTCGCCATCTCCTGGCGCCATAGGCGATCCTGTTGGCTTGAGCTAGGTCCTTAGCGACGAGAGTATCTTGGAGTGCATGGTAGAAGGCGGGTCGGAATTTATCTTCCTTGGCCTTAATCAGGTCAAACAGTCGTGGGGCATTCTCGGGGGTCTGAATCGGCTGTATGTCGCGCACACGCAGCTTATCCAGACATATGAAGTTGCCTCGCCCGAGATTGGTCTTCCGAAGGTACTCGATGCATTGCTGGCCGGCCTCCACGGTGTCGGTGACGAAATTGTCGAGAGAAGGACATGCAGTGGATATGGCGACGTCGTATCTCTCGTCAATCGTGCCCAGGTTACCAAGACGGCCATGGAAACCATCGATTCGCCCGGATTCCTTCATCCGCATCAGGGCCGTGAGTACATTGCCTCGATTTTGGTTCTGTGAGAGACTAGACCTTGCTTCCTCTGCCTTCTGTCTAGCATTGGATACCTTGGCGCGAACATTCGGTTCCATCTGCGCCATGCTCTCGATGTCGGCTTCAACCTTCTTCGCCTCCTTTTCTAATTTTGTCTTTTCCGCTTGGCATTCCTTGAGCTCCGCCAGCTTGGTTGTGCGACCCTCTTCTATATTGGCGATCTTTGTTTGCATCTCCTCAAGCGCAACCGCGCCAGCATTAGCTTTCTCTTCGAGGATAGCCATCTCAGACTCGGCAACGGCAATCGCAGACTGCTTCTGGTTTATCTTCTCTTTCCATGGCTCGAGAGATTTCTGCTTGGCTGCAATTTGGTCTGAAAACACTTGTGTCTTGCCCTTGAGACTGTCTCGGATGGTGGCAAGTTCTGCCTCCTCTTCTTGCATGCTTTGCTCGAGGGCAGAGATCTCCTCGGCGCGCGAGGCTATCTCCTCGGTACACTGTTCAATGGTTTCCTCGGCTTCCGCAGTCGATTTTTCAGCGTTGGCAATCGTCTTTTCAAGCTTCTTCTGCTTGTCCGCTAAAAATTTCCGCTTTTCGTCAAATTTGACTCTTTCTTGCTCGAACTTAGCCGCCTCTTTGGCAAGGGTTTGAACGTTCTTTTCTTGGGACTCGAATTCTTTAGATCCCTTAGCATACGCCTTCTGAAGCTGCTTTATGATTTGCTCGCTTCCTTGATGCTTTTCTAGCTCTTCGTCGAGCTGAGCCTGCATCTGGCTGATCGCCTCTTCGGTGACGCTCACATTGTTGTTGCACTCGCCAATGTAGAGTTGGTAGAGTGCCGATTGCTTGAGGGTCAAGTCGTTTTCGTCCCGGATGTAGGCTAGAGCTTTGTTCTTCTTGTCCTCGAGACTATTCTTCTCCTTTTCTACGTGCTGAACTCGACCGCTCTTCTCCATGCAGATCTCGTTGAGGGTTTCCACCTCTGTGGCTGCTTCTTCGATAGGCGCTTTATACTTCGAGGTTCCAATTATATCTTCGAGGTATTCTAGCAGACCATCTTCGTGTTCGTTGGCGGCTTTGGGTTTCATTTGAGCAATCGACTCAACTTCACCCTGCAAGATGAGGAAACGCTTGTGGTCAAGATCGATGCCGCGGTCGCGGAGGAGAGTGGTCACGGTAGTGAAATTGGACTCGCTACCATTGATGTAGTATTTGCTCGAATTGTTCTTAAAGGCTTTCCTGGATATGACAAGTTGGGAGTTAGGGATGACTTCCGTCCCACCACCGGGCTATTATAACTCAAGTTAGCAAGCTGAAGTTGTAGAATACTATGACGCCTCAAACTGACCAGATCCATGACTTCCTGGAAATGTACGGCCACCTCGCAGTGATCCAGGTCTGGATGAGCGGCAGAGTTGTGGATAAGAGCAGAGATCTTTCCCTGTCGCATCTTGCTTGCCCTAAATCCAAAGACGAAAAGAAGCGAATCGATAACGTTCGACTTTCCAGAACCATTGGGCCCTACTACTGAGGAGAAGGAAGAGTGGAATGGGCCAACTTCTTGACGTCCGGCGTAACTCTTGAAGTTGTTCAAGATCAGGTAAGTGATGACAATGCGAGCTTTCGGCCCCGTATCTTCGACGACAGGCACCACCATCTTGCGCGACTTCAGGACGATGTCCATGGGCTTCTCCAGGATGGTATCCATTGGCCGAATGGGCTTCACCTTAGTGACGGTGTCATCTGCGGGGTGCCGTTGTTCATTAATGCTCTGGTCGGTGATATCGGCCAAGGGCGTTCCGTGAAGTTCGGATGGCTCCTCAGACTGCGCTGGCGTTGGCATAGGAGGTTGGCTATCGGGCGTCGCCTCTTTGGTAGCCTTGCGCGGCGCAACACTTTTTCGCTTCCTTGGCGAGGCTTTCTTGACTGTTGATGGTTCGGGACCTATGACGGTGGCAACGGATTGATCTGGGTCAAGTATCTCGCTCGCCTCGATGGACGGCTCTGGCACGACGCTTTTTCTTGAACGGTTTGCGCGCGGTGTCGCGGGTGCTGTCGATTTTCTTCGGCTTTGGGTCTGGCGGCGCGAAGCTCTAGTAGTTGAAGTCTCGGGCGCAAACTCATCCTCGCTCTCTTCCTCTTTAATTTTCTTAGTAGTTTCCGCGACCATATCTCCTTCGTCTTCCGACTCGATAATAGCTGCGCGTCGGGCCGCAGCGCGACGGCTAGGTCGTGCAGACATGGTTGGTTGGTACGGTAAGGGGCGATCCGGTAACTCGGGCAGATATAATCTTGATTACCTATACATATACGTATACGTATCTGCTCTCAAAGTTAGGAGTCGTCTTCGTCGTCCTCGTCGTCGCTGTTGCTGTCGTTAATAGTCAATTGTTAGTTTGATGATGAATAAAATTGGGGTACCGGGGTACGAAAGTAAACATAAACAAGATGTCCCCACAAACCCCACCTATATTTAAGGTTATCACTAATCAGTTGACAGCGCGTCGCATCTGCATAGAGCTTCCCAAGACGCGGCATGCTATTTTACCCGATGAATTCCCGGCGCATCCCGGTTTCTACATTTTACATACCTCTCTTTCACTCGCCTTGAAGCTTTGTCAACAGACGCAAATCTTCTGTTTTTCTACTAGCCGTGCTTTCCTAACAGACTAGGGTCTATTGCAAACTCGACCAGCTATCAAGATGTCCAAGCCCTCAGAATTCGACAAGATCTTCGGGTCTCTAGATCCGTTCCCTTACGACCGAAGCTTCGTCCAACACCTAGAATCCTCCCGCCGAAGTCTTGAGGGTTCGCTATTCATTGACAGGGTGTTGAAGGCCCTGAATCTGTCTAAGGGTAACTCCTCCAGATTCTATTTTCTATACATTGTCTTCATACTAACCCTACATTCATATATAGCCACCAGCCACTATCCCCCAAAGAACGCCGACGCTCTTCGACAACTATACCTACATATCTTCGAAAGCAAGAATGCCACTATTCACCACAAGCTCTCAGTGGTATTCTACCTGCTTCTTGACATCGACGATCGGAACGGGAGCAACCGAGCCGAAGCTTACGCTCGAAATGCCAGTATCCCTCAGAAATACAGGATTTTTATGCGAGGCTTATGGCATATGGATGCACTACAATTCGACCTCGCCCTTCAGTATCTCACCCATCCGTCGCTCGAACCCGACTTCGTCGACGATATCATCACCGTCTTAGTCCGGCACGCCAAGAATGGCGACTACAGGCTACCCCTCGCCTACTACCACACCGTTCAGCCCATGATACAGTCTTCCGCTGCGCTAGAATTGCTATTTGACGCCCTTGCGCGGTCCAGCGTAATCGATGCCTTCCAGTTCTCGCGGTCGCACGCCGATTTCATGCGTCGCCAGCTATTCCAACGCCTCATCATGTCCGTGCTAAGATCTGACCGCAGCGACGAGTCTGCCGAGAGGGCTCTCGACTTGACTAGCTTGCCATTTGATAGCGAAGAGGAACAATGGTTCAAGGAATGCCTGGAGAATGGCGAGGGAAAGAGGCTACCGGCGGCGAAGGACACCCTTCTCATGCGTCGAATCGCCACGGGTCATTCTGGATATGGAGGCGAGGCAGGTACCTGGGGTGTGATCCTGGAAGGCTTCAAGACAGGAAATGGAGGGCGTCCCCTGGCTTAATCAGGCCGACCCGCCGAAGTCTACATCCCACTTAGTCAAGGTTGCATAGCGACGGCGTTTCGGCTTTTTTGTGATGCCACCCTATGGTACTAGGGTATAATGATGCTTCTGAAGGCAAAATAATAGACACTACTGCCACAGGCATTCTCACCAAGTTAATCGTACCCGCTAATAAGAAATCGGTGTTCCTACGTGCTCACGAGTAGTAAAAGTCGCATACAGCCATGTATTAAATCCCAATCATCTTGCTAGTCCACCCTGTCCGAATCTGTATGCCTAACGTCTCCTCCAAAAAAAAATCGCTTACACCTCTCGATAATATCCAAGGAACTCTACTCTAGCTGCAGCAGACTCCACATTCCACAATTCAAGTCTGATCGATTATTAAACCACCACATCCGTACCAAACGAACGCTACAAATATCCAATATACGAAGAGCAGAGTATCGAAGTACCAAAAAAAAGAAAAAAAAAAAAAAAGTACATACTCAAGCCTCTTTCAACGTTAGGAATGGCACACCTATGTCGTAGAATTCACGTACCCGACCTCATCATCTCCACCTCGAGTGCAGATGCGATTTATCTCAAAGCAAAAAGAACTCCGAATCGGGGAATCGAACCCCGGGCTTGACGGACCCCGACTTCTCCTCGAAGGAGAGCACATGAGAGCGTCAAATGTTAGCCACTACACCAATTCGGATTGAAAAAAGTTTTCTTACTTGAAACTATACCCCACGACGCTTATCGGAAACAGCTTCTTACTCCGATAAGCAAGTCACTAACTAAATAAGGCTAGTTTCTGAGTATATTAATGGATCGAAAGTTTATTAATTCCTGTTCAACTTGAATATTACAAAGGCACTCTAACAGTGAAGCTGAGTGTCCTACTCCTAGTCAAATTTATATGACCCAGGTACCATCGGTAGACAATCTCAGAAGAGCGCATAGGGAAAAGGATAAGCACATTGACGGTGAGCACTTGAGGTCCCATGGAAGTAATTACCCCGCATAACTCTCATTAATTCATGACGAACTCGAAGCTTCAGATAGTGCTCTAAGAGCGGTACAAGTTGATATTCACAGCATCTCAAAACAGCAACTCCTCTACGAGACAGCGTTAAACCACGAACCACATATACTCTTTCTACGGCACTTGGAATGAGTACATAATCCTTGTTAAGATAAAGATTCGACTTGATTTTCCATACATTCTCTGCAGACGTACATATCAACGACATCATTTCGCAATTCGATGCTCAATTCAATCGTTTCATCCCTTGTCTAATGATGACCATGATAATGATATTTTTAACATCCAGAGGAATACCTAAGAATATCTATAATTTTAACTTAAAGCACTTTGATGGTAGTAACAAGTCTTTATTAAGCGTCAATAGGATCGTTTAGGATTGGCTACGATGACTTCTCCAGTTTTTCCAGTCCATAATCAGTCTCCAGATCATTTCGCAGCTTGATCTCCTTTTCCACAAACACAACAAAGAATGACGCCCCAACGATGGCAGTAGCGACAATCCAAACAAGTTGAAGGCTGTCGCTAAAGACACTAATTACCTGGTCTCGCGCGTGGCTCGATAGTGATAGTGCCCACTCGCTCGTGGCATGCGAGTATCCTTGACCATTAGCTATCTGAGCTCTAACAGCGACATCGTCGATGCTGATGGAAAGACTATCACAGCGGCTATTGAAGAGTGCAGCGGGTATAGAAACGCCCCAAACCGTTCCAAAGCTGCGTACGAAAGCCAAAGTAGCGGAAGACGACGCGGTATCTTTCTCCGACAGCGCGGCTTGTGTGGCTGGAAGCAGTGTACTTAGTGCGAACCTGAACCCCAAACCACCAATGAACTGAAGGCAGACATATAGGGCAGGACTGCTGTATGGGCCCAAGAGGATGAATAGTCCAGTACCTAGAGTCATCAAAGCGAAGGCAACGAGATGAATAGGTCGATATCCCCCGAACTTGGTCAAAAGGACTCCACTGACGAGACCGCCAGGGACAATAGTGGCAACTGTAGGCAGCAGGAGAGCACCAAATCGCGTAGGGTTTTGGAGTTGCACTCCCTGGAAATAGACACGCAGGAAATAGAGAGCCCAGTAAGAGAATAGAGAATGCACGAAAGTGAAATAAAAGGCGGCGGACGACGTCCTGTTGCGGAAAAGGTATGGCGGGGCCATTGGTCTCCTACACCACGGAGACGACTCGTATGCGATGAACAGGCCGAGTCCAGAAAATCTGAGTAGTAGAGGTAGCAATACGTGCCAGGAAGCCCATGGGTAACGTGTCCCTCCGTATGTCAAAGCTATCAAGACGGCGATGACGGAGGGGATTAGAATACCGTTACCAACATAGTCTATACGACGTAGGCGCTCGATAACGGATGACTCGAGATCGTAATTAACGTGTAAGAAGGTGATGAGCAAGGCGAGGGCCACGGCTGCAATAGGCAAATTGATCCAGAAGACCCATCTCCACGTAGTACTCGCGATGATGGCACCGCCAATAAAGGGGCCGAGGGGTTATCCGATGGCAAATGCGGCGAGTATGATGCTCATATAGGTACCGCGATTGCGCAAAGGGGCGAGATCGCACACAATCATCTCGACTATCAAGATGATACCTCCTCTACCAGCACTTTGCACAGCACGGCCAGCTATAAGCATTCCGGCGGAGGTAGCTCCTCCGCTCACGCTTCCGAGTGCGTATATAGGCACAGTAGTGATGGTGAGCCAACGGCGGCCGAATAGATCGGCGATCTGTCCGTATAAAGGTAATAAAGCAGTGCTGGTCCAGCCAACATTCAACATATTAGTGAAGAGAAATATAGTAATAGAGGAATGGATAATATCGACTCAGACTCACCTTGACAGCTTATAAGCGTTAGCAAACCATACGTGAAACTCACCAGCTTTAAGAGCACTTGCTATAAGGGGCATGGCTGTAGACGTAACGGTGCTCTCAACAGCGTGTCAGCGGCTAGCAGCGACGTGACAGAGAGAGCGAGGAAAATAGCCCAGAAACACCGGCCGTTGCTTGATGGTGTGCTAGTAGCACTAACAGTCATTAGATCTTTGGGGGGCTCATCGGTGAGATCATTATTCGTGTCATCACGTGTATCGTTGGATACAACTTCATCGTGAGTTGCCATGTTGGCTGATAGATGCTGCTAGTCAAACGGGATCTAAGAGAATCTATCGAAAACAGAAAGGTGCATATGCAGTACATTATGAAGTTTACTCTGCATATTTAAGAAAGGAATGATTCGAAGATTGTACATTTAGACTGAGTGGGAAGCCGGATACCAGGTTTCAATTCCTTGGCTCGGATATATTTTCCTACTAATTTAAGGGGGCAGCGCCGGGTGGGGCCAGACGGAGGCGGAAGCGAAAAGTTCGGTAACCTTTCTGATATGTTAGTCGCCCGGACCCACTGAGTATCGGACAAGTCCACACCTCAATAGTACTAGGTAGGCTAGCTTTCATGCAAAAAAATCGGCAAGGTACGCCCCCCTTTTTCATGATATTTTACATAATCCACCCCGCGATCTATACCTCTCCCCCATCTTTCACATCCCTCGCCTACCCCCAACTAAGCACGGGTATATAAACGTGTAAAGCCGACTGCAACGTATATCGTAGGAACATGTCCATAATAAGCCAATAATAAGGTAACTCGTAGAATTCAAGTCGTATTAGACATCTAGAGTCAAGACTCAACGTCAATAATAGAACCTCAGACTGGTAGAACACCATAATTGTGGGGCCGGTACCGGCAGTCTACTTTAGCTTAACCTGTCGCTAATCTAGATTCGGACTAGTGCAGTATGAGGCGTGACCAATAGTGGCACGTTTAAGCAACCTTGTATTACCTACCTAGGTAACCAACCTAAAAGGGCAAGAAAGAAAACAAACTACCTAATTCATCCGCTCAGCTTTCTAATCGCGGGCGCTTTATCGGAAACACTACAACTATCTTCCTTTGGGTGTACAATTACCGCCAAAATGGCCTCCACCATGGTCAGGGTGGACGTACAAGCTATTAAAACGAGGACGGCGTACTTGAATCCAATGATGCCACCGCTACCGGTTGATCCGCGTTCGAGACCCGAGACATCACGGCCATCCGCGGCGAGACATTCAACCCAACCTCCCAACCGAAGTCCGAAGTTGCATCTAGGAATGTTCGAGATCGGGAAACCGCTCGGCAAGGGAAAATTTGGGCGCGTTTACCTCGCGAAGCATCGGCCCTCCGGGTTTATATGCGCTCTCAAGGTGTTAAACAAGGACCAAATTAGGGAGGAAAAGGCTGAAATACACGTCCGACGCGAGATCGAGGTGCACAGCAATCTCCGACATCCCGGCAATCTCGGGTTCTACAACTGGTTCCACGACTCCCGCCGCATATTCCTTATACTTGAGTACGCGCCCGGCGGCGAGCTCTACAAGTCATTACGGCGAGAAACTCGGTTTTCCGAGCGGCGCGCAGCTAAGTATGCCGCCCAGGTGGCCCACGCCTTGATTTACCTGCATGGTAAGAACATAATGCACCGCGACATCAAACCCGAAAACATCCTCGTCGGCCTCCACGGAGAGCTGAAGCTGGCCGATTTTGGCTACAGCGTACATGCGCCGAGCAATTTCCGGTCGACTCTGTGCGGGACGCTCGACTACCTACCCCCGGAGATGCTAGACTCCAGCACGGAGAAGTACACCAAAGCAGTGGATCAGTGGACATTAGGCGTCTTGACGTATGAGTTTCTCACCGGCGAGGCTCCCTTCGAAGATACCTACCCCATGACGCATAGGAGGATCTTGAAGTGCGATATGAAGCCGCTTCCGACATCGCTATCTTCAGAGGCTAGGAACTTCGTTAAGTCCGTATGTGTAACCCGCCACTGTGGCTTAACTCCGCCAAGCTGATTTTATCGTGTAGCTCTTGGTCCTGGATCCAACGAAACGACTCCCTCTTTTGGATGCTATCAAGCATCCTTGGATTGTGAAGAATTGTACCAATAGATAGCGCCCCGTGCTCACGTGCTCGTACTCTGGTATTTTGATTTTCTGATTGGCAATATTATACCCCTTGCAGCGGCGTCGGGAGTTTCAGGCTTGGTAGCGTTGACGAATGTTGTATTGCATCGGCGCCTTTCCGTAAATATCGGGTGATGCGCATGATAAATAATCAAGGGGTAGGGGGCCTCGTGTTTCCTACCCCCCTTGAACTTTAGAATCGCCATCAACCAGACAGCTTCGAGACCATCACCTCATGACCGGTGTGTTTCTACATATGCTCCAGGGCCGAACTAATAGTCGGGCGTAGTTCTCACAAGCTGGCAGTGCGAAGTTGCTAACTAAACGCCACGGCACTCTACACAGCCTACACCAAGGCTACGTCAATGTACGATCAGCTCCCCGTTTCATTACCACCCAAGATCTATTATATGAATAATGTTTTGTCTCGTGCTCGTTTTCTCCCTCCTCTGACTTGACCTTTCAGTAGATGTTCAATTAAGATGATTCTAATATCGTTCGTTAGTGTTCAACCTATCTGAACATTAACTTCAGTACCATCGTCGTCTTATTCCCGTATGCAGCTACTTGAGTCGTAATCAGTATAAAACGTCTAACAGCGATTGCTTACGTTTGACAAGTGTTTGCTGGCGGCTTGCTAAGGGAAAATGACCC